TTATACCAAAACACTCAGCAGTTTCAGTTTGGACACATCTGCTGAAAAGACAAAATTCTCATTATCTTAAAGTTTGTAGCACTTGGTAGTAGTGTGCAGGTGGTTGCTTTTCTGGCTGTTCTGTGACAGAACTGTGTCGTGTGACACGTGCTTAACATCCTAAGTGTTGTAAGAGCTGCTGGTCTACAGTGCTGAAATTGCCTACTGTAAAGGTTAATATAACTGAGTGTGAGATTATAACATCCTTTTACCAAAATACCTTGCAGTCAAGATCCCTGCTGTAATTAGAGGGCATATTATACTGGAGTGGACATAGGCATTTAAAAAAAAAATAGAAAATGGACTGTGATTCTCATTTATTCCAGAGGCAAGCACCAAAATTTGTTGTATTGATGAAGATGATCTGGAAGGACTGAAGTTCACTTTCTAAGTGAAAGTATCAGAGAAAACCGCAGAATGGTCTTTACTGGCTGTATATTTTTTTTTTCTATTATGTATTGCCCTTGCCTTGATTTAAAACAACAGAAAAAATCCTATTTAAATACTGATTAGCTAACATGGCAAACAACAGTAAGGAGAGCCTGGTAAGTTAAAAATATGTAGTCAAGGTATCAAAATAATTTAAGATTTTGTAGTTTTCACTGCATTGGCTTGCAAGCTTGTTTTCATATTTCAGGAAGCATTCGAATTTTACTTAAACAAACAAACAAAAAAGACTGGATCAGCACGTGCCTTTAAGTAGGTTATTTATACCTTAGAATATAATTGAAATTTTCAGAAACAATAATTGCAGTTGGCTTTCAGTTAATGATAAGTTATGGCCCTGACTGACCCAAGACTAAAAAGCTGTTGTTGAGTTCAAAAGCCAGTGGAGCCAGAGCTCAAGCAAAGAATAAAAATGCTTATGGTAGACAATGTGCTAAGGTTAAAAAACCAAAACCCCAAAACAACGCAAAAACTGAGAAAAGAGAAAGTCACAGCACATGGATTCACATTTTTCTGACCTGCACAAATGGGATTGGATTTGCAACACTTCTCAAGTTTGAGACCACTTGGTGGTGGGATTCTGGGCCAGTGATCTCTAATAAGAGGAAGTGACTATAATTACAACTGCATTTTTATCTGCCAAATTTCAGAAAAGATCTGATCATTGTAGATGACCTGTAGTATAGGAAGTTGTGCTTGAGAGCAGCTCTTGCAGTGAGGAGCAAAGGTTTTATTTCTGAATTTTGAGTAAAGCAGTTGCTAACAGCCTCCTGTCAAGGAATTGAGGGGAAGCCACTGCGAAGTTAAAGCATGAGTGTATCTGCAGAAAAAATAACCTGAAAATCATCTAATGATTTTTTTTTTCAAATCTCAGTAGAAGCGTGCAGTGCTATCTCCAGCCAAGTCTTACCTGTCCCCTTGCAACTGATGTATGTCTTGACCAGAAAAAAATTCACAGCACAATCAATACCACCTATTTGCAACTGTTGTGATGGATTTTGAGAAGTACCTGTATACTGGGAGGCTTGTGAAAATGTCAAAGAAAAGGGTTGTTAACCAGCAATATAATAAAAAAACAAACAAACAAAAAAAACCCTTTAATGTGAATAAAAGGCAGATTTGTTGAAGTGTTGGCCAAAGATTTAAAGAACCAGCAAATTGCAGATGGTAAAAAAGTCTGTCTTTTCAAGAGTGTGAAATGATGTGGTTTGATGCAATGCCAGTAAAGCTGTAGGAGAGTATCTTGTTGAATTAAAAGGCTTTTTGATTCAGGGGTGGACACAGCAGAAAGGTTTTCAGCAGTGTGGGTGCTTCTCTGCTGTATGTTCATCGGCTGCACCAACATGCTGGCAGGTAGGCACAGACATGACACACTGTTTGCTGACGCTGCAGTGTCGACCAAAAGTGCATGCACTACTCTTATTATCAGATAGGCAGTTTAAGAAGCTATTAAATAGCAATGCAGTTTGGAATTAAAGCTAACTGAGAAGAGCAGGGATGTGAATGATGGACATTTGTGACTTTCAGAGCAAGTTATTAGTACTGCAGGAAAGCTTACTTTAATGGGTTAAAAAGGATTTCCTGTTTGCTATCTTTAATTCAAGAGATTGTGTGGAGTCTGAATGTTAGTGGGAACCTGGCTTCCAGTTTACTGATTGCTCCCTTGCTGGTGTAACAAATGTTGCTGGAAATAACTATATAGCTGTTGCTATAGGAAAGCTTGAATTTTAACCTAGTTTGCAGTCACAGAACCTTTCTGAATAGTCATTGTTCAATGAAATGATGCAGTTGATAGGAGTTGGCCCTTTGAGATTGCATTTTGTACTAGACCTCATGCCCTTGAGGTTTGCAGACTTTACTTACATTATTGTATACTTAGTGTATTTCTGACGAATTATATGGTTGAGAAGTTGGTTTTACTTTTGTTTTTAGTTTCCATATATAAAGAACCAATGGGTATTAACAGTAAGAATCATGATAGATAAAACTAAAAAACCCCAACCAACCACAACAAAAAAACCCACCACCTCCCCAAACAAAAAAAAAAACCAAACCAAAACAAAAATCAGAAGAACCTGCTTGTATGAGTACACAGTGGGCATATCTTTGGACTGAGCTGTAAGAGTAAGCTCTTGCTGCAGGGCTCAGCTCACCAAGGATGTTATGTGCATGATATAAAGAAACCAGGAGGTGTTGCACTTTCATGGTAACCTAAGTTGTAGTTGCATGAAGCCCTCTGGGTGATTGTGAATTTCTCTTGTTGATTCCTCCAATAAACAGCAGACGGAAAGAGCCTGCCTTATTTATTGCTTTGTTCCATATATAGTGTATTATCCAGAATTGATGGCCTGACCATAACAAACATACTGGGCTAGATGGACTGTTGATCTGATTCAGTAGGATCTTTATTATGTTGAATGTGCTTGTGGATATTTTGAGTTTGACTTTTGATGTCTTCTGTCTCTTGTGGTTTTCCTTGGCCTGAAATTCTGAAAATATTAGTTAAGCAAAGTTTGGAAACAAAATATTTTTGCATTCTGGTATTGTGCCCTAACCACCAGCCTCTACAGCTATGCTGTGCTTTCAGCCTGTTTTGTTCTGAACTCAGTGAGTAAATAACTATTTTACATTGAGTCAAACAGAACCAGCAGAAGGTACGGGAGTCATCCATCTCAAAGCACTTCTTAACAGCTGCAATGAGTCTTTGTGAATAAGAGGTGTGGTCTGTACGCTTGCATAGCTACAACCTCAGCCACTGAGGGAGGATACATAACAGTTTGAGCTAGCAGATGGTCTGCAGTCCTTTTCCTGACTAGCAGTCACCACTTGTTTTTGAAGCAAGGAATGATGAGGGAGCTCAGTTCCCTTCAAACAGAGGGATAAGTTAAACAGGAGTATTTAAAAACTTTGGGAGTATCCTATTTAAGGATTCATTGGGCAGAAAGAGAACCACTGACACTGGTGATTTTGGGAGTCTCAGATTTTATTTCCTTGGGGTTTGTTACAAGTATCTAAAAGTTAAATGTGTAAAATATGGCCAAATAATTTGCATTGACATTTGCAGAGTTCTCTTTTTATTATTAATTTCCATGGAAAGAAGAGTGTAATTCTGATCAGTCTGATCTCAAGTTTTTGTTCTCTTTCTCTTTTCACTTGGAATTGAAACTGAAAAATGAGTTCTTTATGTATGCTATCACCAGTCTGTATGCAGCTGAATCCGTGGGAACTTAGGGCTGTGGCTAGTATAGCTTGTAATAAAAGAATAAACTTGGCACTTGTATAAAGTCTACTAAGAATGGCAAAACCCTAAATTACCTTTAACCTTAATTCTTTAATTATCGTTCATATTATCTTTGCTTGCAAGTGAAATGTGGACGACTATTCTGTGATAAACAATTTGCATACATTTCTACACAACTTGCTATAGAAACCCTAAACCTACTGTGTTGTATTAAATCAATGCTAGGTTCACCGAAGGTGACAATATATCTCTTTAGCCTGCACAATTGCAGTACCTTATTACTTTATTATACAGCAGCAATGGTTGTAGTAAGTCCTGCTTAAAAAGGACAGATATCCATTATTTGTGTGTTTGAAGTTTTTATTGGCTAAAAAGGCTTTGCTGAGCTATGTTTTATGGGAAATTAAGTTACTGGAAAATTTAAAATGTCTTTTATTTTGGGACAATAATCAGTTACATTCCTACTAAAGCACAGCTATAATTCTTTGTTGGCACACACACATTTCGCTGCGGCTAAAGGCCTGAACCATGGCCCAGTGAACTTGGTGAAAACCCTTAAATTAACATCAGTGGACTTTGGACCAAGCTCCCAATGAATAATTTATTTCCTTTAAAGACCTTACTTAGCTTTACTTCCATCTTGACTTCAGTAATAGGCATTCTTGACTTAATCTGTCTTGATGCTTAGAAAATACTTGTTATTACAAGATGTAAAATAACTAAATGTTTCACTTTCTCCTGCTATTAATTGCCAGGACTTAAGGACTGCTGTATATATTTTTGTTGTTAAAGTGCTTATTATGACCACTATAATTTGGGACATGGAATAAGATATAGATATTGTGCATATAGTATTAATGTTTTTGTTCTGTGATAAATTCAATAATGTTATAGATAACTTTTGCTTTAAAGCTCCTTTTTATTGACTACTAGAGAACTTATATTCAAAGATCTTCTAATGCAATTATCCTTGTGTATTTTTTAATATATGGTCTATTTAGAAATCTGGAAGAGAAGACAAGGAATTAAAATTAATCAAATCTTAAAATGCTTAAAATCTAATATTTTACAGTTTCTGCAAGTATCTGCATATTTTTTTCACAATTTAGAAATGAAGAATCAGAAAAATTAATTTTCTCTCTTGAAATCCTCAGCCTGTTATGGAAGTAATTCTGTACCCCTGTTGGCAGTGCCTGGGCTCTGACAGAGGGCAGTGAGACCTGTGGTTGTGGCTAAAAATTGCTTATTGCAATTTTTTGTGTTTTGTACCTAGGTGAAATGTCAACAAAAGTGCCAAGCATCAAACTGAAAATTGATCCTCAGGACCTGCAGATCCAGACGTTTACGGTGGAGAAATTATTGGAACCATTGATAATTCAGGTACATTAGTATTGCAGAAAATAAGCTGGATAACCAAAGAGGGAAGGGAATAAGGCTGAAGAACTTTGGCTAAGGACACTATTATGAAAGGCATAATATATATACCAACAGCTCTTAGGTACTTGTAGTTTATTCTGGGTCAGAAACTGTCCAGGGGGATCTGTCTTCTTCCAGATCTGGTCATTCATATCAGCACTCCATTTTTGCAAATGCCACAGAGTAAGTACATCACAGCAAATGTTGTATGTTCTAGCTAGTCTCTTGTACAGTATTACTTAGTGAATGTTTAAATGTAGAATACGCTGCAAATGAATTTCCAACACATGAAAAGTTTCATATTGTAAGTAGATGACAGAGTGGAAGAGCCTTGAAATCTGTGGGTGAGTTTCTTTATCTGAATTTTGAACAGAATTGCATTCTGTTGCATTTTGATGCCCAAAGAACAGTGCAATTGCTGCATAGTGTATAAACTTATTTTAGTAGTTTTCCTTCCAACTAAAGAAAACTTGGACTGAGGGATTTACGAAAATACTTTCAGGTTTGTTGATAAAACTTTCTTCTTAGGAGGAGCAATTTTACTGCATATTCCAGTTCTGTTTCAAGTATGCCCTGGTTAAATGTGCAGTGCTTACTGTGTTAAAGACTCTCTCATTATCTCTATATTTGGCATGGATTCAAAATGTCTTTTTAAAACAATGGAAGGGACCTACCTGAAGACCTGACCTTGTTTTGCAAATAATGTGTATAACTAAGAAAGTGTTAAAAGATCTCTGTAGCAATATGTTACAGGGTAAAGAACAGAAAGGGCATCTTCTGTTTTGAAGCTCAAGCTGTTTTGAATTTTCTCTTCATTGTGCTTAGAACAAAGATGTTGGGGTACCTGATTTAATTAGTCAATCATGGATTCGAAATGTCTTTTTAATACAATGGAAGGGATGTGTATAACTAAGAAAGTGTTAAAAGATCTCTGTAGCAATATGTTACAGGGTAAAGAACAGAAAGGGCATCTTCTATTTTGAAGCTCAAGCTGTTTTGAATTTTCTCTTCATTGTGCTTAGAACAAAGATGTTGGGGTACCTGATTTAATTAGTCAATTACACATCGCACAAGGATGCCAGCTTATCGTTGTCCTTCAGCCTTGCCAGAATGATGTAGATCAAACTACTTTCAGAGCTGTACGCTGCTTGTTTAGTATTCTTTTCCTGGTGCCTGAGGGTATGTTTATATGTTTGTCACTGCTCTGGCTGCAGTTTGTGTAGGTACAGAAAGGTGTGACTTCATTCAGAATTTTCATTAATTTGCTAATGTACAGAGAATACTTTGTTGTTTTTCAGATTGTGAAGATGGTCAGGTATAATGGCTATGAAGTAGTTTCCAGTGGCTGATTGATTAAGATCTGTCCAAGCTCTTTGAGGAATGCCTCTTACAAGACAATAACTTTTTGTTTAATAGGTTATGTTAACAATCAGCAAACAAAACTGATACTGGGAGGATAACTGTTGGTAAATAGAGCAAAGCCGGATTGAATACTGTACTCTGGCTGTTACTCTGTTTATATACATGTAGGAATTGGGGGTGCACAGCTTATTAGAAAAAGGTAGGGACATATCTACCAAGTTTTATATTATTTCAATTTTTTCAATTTGCAACTCTTCTATTTTTACAAAAAGAGATAAAGAAAATAATTTTAATTATGAATGAAAGAATTCTTATTGTACTTGGACAACTATTAGAGGAAAAAGTGTTATTTCTCATACAACTCATGGGCTTCATTGACTGTACTCATCCAAGCTTAGATACATGGTAAATTTTGTTATTCCAGGAATGGACTTCTTTTCACACACACTGCTCTGATGACATCTTTCCTTCTCTGTCCTGGGAGCTAGTCCTTTGCATGCTGTTTCCCTAGACTTGCCAAAGGGTGGTGACCAGATACAAGGGAACAGTCAGATTATAATTAGAGGCAGCACATAATGATTGGAGGGAAGAAGAATACAGAGATGAAATATGAGGACAATAAAATGATGAAAAGCAAAGAGGTGTTGATCATGTTTTGTAACAGTTCTAGGAAAAGTTGCTCTTAGAAATCAGTTAATTCATTGAAATAAGTTTCTCTTTAACAAGTAAAGTATTTCCCTGTTTGAAACTTTTGCCACTTCCTAACTCATCCAGTTTCTTTTATTCATTTTTCACTATCTTCAGAATTTCTTTTCTTATTTTTGACTTGATCTTCTCTTCCTCCCTTACTCATTTGTGCCTTCTGGAAGATTCTTTTCTTCATAAAGTAACCTTTTTATCGTTACTTCATTTCCAGCTGTTATTAACTGAGCTGCCTCTCATTCATTTTGTCTGATTTTTGCCTGGGTGTGACTGACAGTGTATAAAACCTCAGTTAACAGTTCAGTGGTTTGTGGGAAGTCATCAAGCTGGAGTATCAGATATGGATGGATTATAAAGTTAGTTTCAGGGTAGTAGTAATAGACGTCTTGACAGACTGCATTTTAAACCTTCTCTTGTATACCAGTAGGTCAGACTGTGCTCAGGCAGCTGCAACACTGTGCATATTTTTAGAGGAGATGAAGAAATGTAAATTTTGGGCTGAGTTTTGCAGGATAAAAGAAACCTGACAAAACAAAGAAATACAGTTCCAGAACAAAACAAAGAAACCATCTAATTTTAAAGCTCTTCTTCAGCATCTTTGAAAAGCTGGAGTCTGTTAAAAATGGAAATGTTTTGGTTCAAAGAGGATATGATTTTGGCTGTCTTTACCCCTCTCAACCTTAATGCTTCGTTTATTTCCTAACAGAACTGTGGAAGGGAAACTTGCATTTTGAGTGGGAAGGAGACAGGAAAAACGTTGAAAATACAAAAGCAGGGATTAAAACTAATACTCAATGAAGGATGATTGTGATGCTGGAAAAGCAATAAATGAAAACTGATCTATGATTAGAAGGAGAGTCAGACCAGTCACAGATAAAAATGAATAGTATTATGCTCTGGCCTGATTCACTTAGCAGCTGTTGCTTTGAACACAGTTGGACTTTATTTTGAGATTGACATTCTAATATATATATTTAATAGTCTTGTAATGCTCTCGTAGGAGAGAGGCAGTGGAAGTGTTTGAACTTCTCTGAAGTCTGTCCTAGCCAGTTACCCTGCGTGTTAGAGCAGTCATTAGGTTAACGGCATCAATATAAGAGAAAATGAAGTCAAAACTAGCCTATATGGGCTTTGCTAGATTGTATCTCTTCCTTGCAATCTCCAGTTGGCTGTGGTGATTACTCTGAAAGTGTGAAAACAGTGCAACGCATTGTTTTGTATAAAACCTTCACTGACTTGGCAACTTCTCCATCCTTGGAATAAAACAATGTCCCTAAATTACAGTGTTTGGGGGATGCAGGGGCAGCAGTCTCACGGCATTTCTCTCTTTGTGTCCCAAACAGTGGCCTGACCCAGGGTGGTAAATTCAAAAAGTGCTGTGCAGGTCTCTGCAGACAGAAACTTGGATGTTGGAAGTGGCATAACTGCGTTAGCCTAATTCTGTGTCCAACCTTGTAAACTGCACCCTCGTGGGGATGTACTGCTAGCCACACTCTGTTTTCTGCGTATTGCAGAAAAGTTTCTTTAATCCTGTCCAATTGTCCCCTCACCAGAAGGGGTTCCCTCTGTCTGTAGCCTTTGTTTTATTCCAGGTGCTTTGAGGACATTAGTTTTGAAAGGAGGGGTTTTAGGTAAAGTTTTCTATCAATGCATCTGGCACATTGAAAATGGTAGTTGCCAAAATTGACATCATTCAGGTGACAGCTGCCTTGATGTAAATTGGGTACGTGGTCGGACAAACCATCTTTCCTTAATTCTGGGCTTTTATCAGAGATGTATTCTGTCATGGAGCAATTAGAGCGAAGCAATCAGTAGATCATAAAGCATTTTCATTTGCATAGCTGATGTCTACTATTTGTCATGCTTGTGCTGGATTTACTCACAAAATATAACAATTAATGTAATGGAAAATATCCTCTTGTTCTATCTCATCGTCAGAGACTTAAGGCTGTTTAATCTCTTTGCTGTACTATGTAATGATTACAGTTATGGCTAGGTATAAATTTGCTACTGTAGAAAGCTATTATAAGGCTTTTTTTCCTTTTGAATTTACATACAAGTAGAAGTTTTGAAAAATATGACTTGATGAGATTCATATAGCTTCATTAATTCACACAGGAAACACTTCATAACTGCCTTTGCAGTCATTTTAAGTTGTATAAGCTGTAAATTTGTCACTTATTTGGATACTGTATCTAAAGCTCTCTATGTATTTACATATATACACACACACTTCAAGTATGTGCTGTGTGTGGGTATGTATACATAAGCAAATATTTGTAGAGCTTTTCTTTGCCAAACCTCTTGCTTCCATCTCTTTATATTTTATACATACATACAAGCTAAGGAAAGTTTATGGCTGCAAGAGATAGGCAAGTTTTACAGAATATGTATGAATATCCATGTATTTTAGAGTCCCTTGCATCACTGATGAAAAACAGGCAAGTTGAAAGGCATTTATTCTCCCGTCATGCACACGAACAAAAGTTTGCTCGCATGGAAAACATACGTTGTTGGTTTTAGCTCTGTGTATGGTGGGTTTACTTTATGCATGCTGAAAGTGATTAACTAGTATTTATTTGTATGGGCAATACTTTGGATTTGAAACAGTGAGCAGGGGGTTCTGCTGTTGTCATTAGATCACTGAGTTCATGTCTTTTTTCAAGTGTCTAGGGATTGCAGTTACAGTGAGCTAAATTTTAAACGAAAAAGAATGTTTTATGATTGCTTTAAAACACTTTTATATTAATTTCAAAGGTGAACAAAATCTTTTGATACGTGACGTACTAAGACATTGTTTCTTTAACTACTGCAATATTAGAAGATTGTAAGTGCTGTTAGGAACTGAATATAGCATTGGAAGAACTGCTGCACAGTTCCTTAGGAATTCAGTATTTGGAATAAATCCCACCCCTTCAGCCTAATATATTTATGGAAACAACAGGCAACAACAACATGATTCAACTATCCTACTGTGGTGGCGTATAGGCTTGAAAATATCACTTAAAAAAACCCCTTCTGCCTCTAGCACAACTCTGTTGCTCCTACCAGAGATACAAAATAACCTCTTGACAATGATTTCCACTGAATGCTGGGAGACCTGCTGTATATGGCAATTAGAAGGTGTTAATAACTGGGAAATGTAGTCGGGTATGAGCAGGATTAGTGGGGATGTGTTTTTCTTATAATGATATGTTGACTGTGTATTCTGCCACTACAGTACAAGCTATGTTGTTGCCTATGGATCAAAAGGGCACACTATAGAACTACTGCATAGTTCAATTCTTTCTGTGTAGAATCTGCATAAAGTTTTTGCATTCCTTATCAAGATTCTGTGTTAGAGAGTTCAGAGTGGTTTTTCTGTATTTCTTAATCGCCATGAGACAAGCACTACCTATCAAATTTTGACTTGTATTTGAGATCAGAAGCTGCCTCTGCTATTTCCTGACAGGGATGCTGAAGATAAAGGACCTTACAGTCAAGAATTTTCACCTGCAGGAGTTATTATTTTTCATATTTTTCCATTTGTTTTGTTTCCTTTCCTCTTCCAAACCACATGAATGAACAGTATATAGGATGGTATTTTACATAAAAAGGAGACTACAGTAAAAAATCTGAGAAATAGAATGTATTATTTTCTGGGAATGGTGATTAAATAGTTAAGACACTTTAAAAATGTCTCCTACTTGATAGATTTTTGGGGCAGCATCCAATTTTTTACAGTGTCTTATGCCTTTCCTGTTGGAAGTATCAGCCTACAATCTCTTTACCTCACTTTTAAAAATATGATCATTGAAACTGCATTAAATGTTCTAGAACTAATGTTAGAGGGTTTGTAAAAAGAAAAGATATTAAGATTAGTATTCCCAGTGCATTCTCTACAAGCTGGCTGATTTATGTGCAATTAACAATTTCATTTACCTTCTTTGAGCCACAGTCAGAAAAATACCCAAACCCTCTTCAACAATCTGAGCCACAGTTATTTATGTTGCTGTCTCCCTTGTGACATGCCAAAGCAGTCGATGTCCAGTAGCTGGTCCTTTTTCCCCCCAAATTCCACATGAACAATGTAGGGGTCAGGGCTTTTGTCTTTCAAAGGTTTGTTTATAGAAATGCTTCCCAGAGGATGTTTGTCAGTTACTTTTAAAAGTACTGATTAATGAAAAGCACTAAAGTGCATGAATTCATGGACAAGATCCAAAGGTGAGCTAGGGCACAGCTAGCACAACTCTCATTATATACCTGTGAGTGGAGCCCTTTTCCATAGAACAGCTCAAACCACAAGCTGTACTGCAGCCATTAGCTAAATTTGCCTGCTGGAGTGAGAAATTCATACACAGCTTTTGCTTTGCTTATACAATATTGCTGATGGTTTGAATGCCATTTTATTAAATAAAATGAAGCAATTATATACATATAAAAGGTGTTCACTGAGCTCCAAGACTAGAGCTGTACTTCGTGTTATACTATCAGGTGTTCTAGCACAGAGAGCAGAATAGAAGGAGGATTAAAAAACATCAGTGAAGTTAAAACATACTTTATTTTCATTAAAATATCTATATAACACTTTTAAAATCTTTTAGGAGCCTTTCCTTAGTGTGACAGCTTAAGCAATGCTGTAGAGAATAGTCTGTTAGAAACATGCTGTTAGAAATGTGGAGGCTGTGCTCAGATGATGAGGAATGTGGAGTGGGATGCTATATAAAAATAAGTTCTTTATGGTTGTTGAAGTACATTGTTAAAACCGTAATTTGGACAAGGCTGCAGTAAGCCTACATTCTGGGTAAAATGATGTACAATTTTAATGTTGAGAGCCCCCCAGAGAATTCTAAAGTGCTGAGTTCTGACCACTGTGATCCTCCTTTTAAGAAGACAGAGCGTTTTGAAATGTATTTACACTCATTTGGGTGTTTGCTTCTAACATAACTTGGGAGATTTAAGCTGGAAGTATGGGAAGATTCAGCACTGATTATAATTCCTGCCTTGGCTGAAGCCTCCTTAGATAGCATTAACATTTTTTTTTTTTCTTTAATCATGAGGGAACTTTAAAATAAGCAGTGTCAGGAGTTTGCATCAGGGTTAACGTGACAGTGAGATTTCTATTGACTTTGCTTGGATTATACAGGAAGAAGAATGCAAACATGAGGCATATTAAGTAAAATTTATCTGTCAAACTTGATTCAATAGTTTTGCCCATTCTCAGTATGTATGCTGAGCTTGCCTGTCTCTCTCTAAAGCAGAGGGAATGTCATTGATTATTCCCAACTATATGAACTTGATTTTTTAAAATTTTGAGAACAATATAAATTCACTTATTGTACAAATTATACCACTGTTGTCTTTTTTTTTTTTTTAATGTAGGTTACAACACTAGTGAACTGTCCACAGAATCCCTCTAGTAAGAAAAAGGGTCGTTCCAAAAGAGCTCGTGTCTTGCTAGCTTCTGTGGAAGAAGCCACTTGGAATCTGTTGGACAAGGGGGAAAAAATTGCCAAGGAAGCAATTGTGTTTAAAGATGAACTTCATGCAGCACTTGCTGATGTCCAGAAAGAGAGTAAGTATATGACAAATAATTTAGGTGCCACAGGGAATAAGTTTAACCATGTAACACTGGTATCAAAATGAAGCTAGGATATCCATGAGAAACATGTTTTGATGTGCAAATGTCTGAACTTTACGTTGTCTAATTGTATCTTCTGAGATACCACTTACAAGGAGGTAATACATGCAAGCTGTTTTTTGTGGAAAAACAGCAGACTACTTATCAGTAGACATTTTGGTCTTGTGTGTGGTTCCTCCTCCCCCTTCTCCCCTCAATGAAGACAGGATGCCCCTTGTTAATTTTAGTGGCTGTTAAGCACAAGTCTAAGTTAATGCATGCTTTAATGCTCTTCTTGAAAAGAACTGTTTACCTGAATCTGGGATTAAGGCATTTTAGTTAAAAATTTAAAACCAGAAATCTTCCCTCTTTTGTGCAGTAGTAAGGACTTAATTTGAGAAGGTATAATAGTCCTGTTTGAAGGTATGTTTTGAGACTTCAGTAGGAGGAAGATGGATTCTTTAATCTACTTGAAAGAATCATCCTGTCATGATAGAGCAACTCACCTTTGGTGAGTTCTGCCGTATTCCATTTCCGTATGGTCTACCTCCCTGTTTCCAACCAGACTCCCAGAATAGGACTAGGTTTTATGATCTGCTGAGAATACTGTATTAGCCACTTTCAGGCTCTTTGTTGCTTTTTTGCCTTTTTTTTTTTTTTTTTTTTTAAGAAATCCTACCCACTTGAAAGTCGATTGAGGATATCCAGTTTGATTTTGCCGTTCCTGCAGAAATCCACCTTGAAAATTGATTCAGGAGAAGATTTCAGAGAAAAAAAGGGACAGTAGAGCAGTGCTTTTAGTGCGTGGTCATTGGAGAATTATATCCTTTCATCAGTGCTCTGTGAATTTTGTAAACAAATAGTTCCCAAGGGTTACCTGGAATCAAATTAAGAGAGGCTGATGAAAGCCTTCCCAAACAAGTGGGAGCAGACAAGCAAAGAACAATGGTCTGTACCATACAGTTATTGTCAGGCCATGGTTTTATCAAGGGGCAAAGTGGGCTTCAGTTGCCTTTTCACTACTGAGCAGTTCAGGGTAGTGATTACTAGCTATTGGCTTCCTCTGGATCCAGAGGTGGTTGCATTTTAGAGTTTGATATATGCGTATGGTGTCTGAGATACCTTAAGGTTCTTTGTGATTAAAAGTGTTATGACCAGCAAATATCATTGTTATCTGTCACACTGATCAGCTGAGGCTTTAAAAAAAAAAAAAAAATCATTCATTTTGGAGTACTCTTAAAATGTGAGCCCATCCGTTTCAGGCCGATAACACAAGACAAGAATAAAATATATAGTTCTTTATTGATTTTTATACATGGATAATATAAAAATATTTCACATTTTCAATTTATTTATTGATTCCTAGCCAAGACCAGAGATAACTACAAAAATAAATAATACATAAAGTAGATTATATACACCTCATACATTTTAGAAGAAAGTTAAGTCCATGTTATCACCTATCGTTACGCAATGACAAATTGAGCATTCATAGCCGATCTTCCTCCAAGGATTTGCCAAACTGCACAAGTTAATTTTTAAGAAGTTGGTGAACAATTGTAAATGAATAGCAGTTTGTTAATTTTGCAGATATTCTTAGTCCTTTGAAGCTGTGTATTATTTTTAATTTGTGGTATGCCACATCACATGTAACTTTATTGCCTATTATTCGAGTCACATTCTGCTGCTGTTAAATGTCTGATGTTATTTACTTCAAGCTTTTTGAAAGGATGTGGGTCATAAACTGTGCCTGCATGCAGTCACCTGCCATGCATATCATAGTTTATAGTATTTAATTTTCTGTGGGCATATTTTTCTGTGGTGACTGGCAGATATTTTTATTAATATGCTCTTTAAATATATTATGAATTTTTGCATGTGGCCACAGCTTACATTTACTGTATAGTAGGATTTTGAAACAATAATATAGATGATTTCATTCAGATGTGAACCCAAAGTACTAGTCCCAGAGCTGCACACCAATGTCTGGAAAGAATAAATATTTTTTCACCTCTTCTTGCATTTTAGCTTGTTGCTCACTGAACTTGTTGAGTTGAAGACTGTTACATGAGAATTAAATGCTTGTTTCTTTTGAAGTCAATCGTCAGTGTGAAAATGCTGCTTTGTTACTTTTGGAGCTCATTAATAGAAGTTCCTTTTAGAGGAATGATAGACTTTTTTCAAGCTGCTGCTGATAATCCTGTTCATACTAACGTTTTGGGGAATAAAGGGGCAAATTAGTAGGATAGAAGTGAACAGTGGATGTAAGATAAATGGAAGATTTGTTGTATTTAATTCATCTGATGCATTAGTGACTCATCTAATATCTTCAGAAATGGGGACATGGGTATGGCTTCACTGACTACAGTTCAGTCTTGACAAATGCTGTCAGTAGATGAAATTTTGGTCTCAAATTCAGTTGAGTTTTGTTAGTGACATCTGAAAGAAGGTGTTGCTCTAAAGGCTGGCAGGCACATTCCCTGGATAAATCTAGTTTCTGCTTCCTTTGACATCTGCAAAGTTGTACTGAAGATTCATAGTTTTGGACCTGATAATTTTAATACAGAGGTTCTCTGCATTTCTCTTTGAGTTTCCTCTCAAAAAAGCACTTTTTAAGGCCTATCTCTATCTACATCTTGATTCACCTTCTTCTGGAACTCTACTAAATGAGTCACCAGGCAGGCCTGTGAGTGGTGGACAATATGCATGACCCAAAAATTAACTAGCCTAGTAACTGGAGAACTGCCATGGTTTCCTGTTGATCTGGTTTGGTGAAGCTTTGTTAAAGGGTACTCATGTTCACATTTTTCTTCTAAAACAGTGTAGTAAACCCAAATATAAGTATTGTGAAAAATTCTCACTGCCAGATTTCGTGTATGCATCAGACCCCCCCGCCCCTTCTGACTCATAATGTGCTGTGAATTAATGGTAAAATAACTGACCCCTATACAAAGGAATAAGAAGCATCATTCAACCATGAATGCTTCTGACACTAAACATCAGACTATAATTAATGTCCTGATTCTGATATTTAATCTATTTTAAGACAAAACAGTGATGTAGTTTATATGGGGAAATGTTCTCTTAGGAATTTGCAATAAAGTCTAGTATTATACTTACGATAATGATTTTTTGCATTTATGTCAAGGTGTGATTGCTTATAGTTTTCATACAGTTGTACAGGCATAGCTAAAATGTTTGGTATTTATTACCATTGCTTACTGACTATATATGGTCAGAAACACAACAGTTGTTGTCTGCATTGTTTCTATCTATTGCAATGTCAATGTTTCATGTGTTCAGCTGTTATCATGCTCAAGTGTGTTCCTAGATAAGCCTTTCATCACAAGTAAGGGTGAGTTGAAAGCACGTTACTTGCTGGAGTTACATCTTGAGCCTTCAGTTACTCTTTAAGAGGAAATTAGAGAAAGGATATTTACTAAAGGAAGGGGATAGTCGTCTCTTGTATTAAACTATATTCTTACTTGTCCCCCCTACAAAAATCTTAAGAATAAGCTTAACTTTCTCATCCTACATTGAGGTACATGTATATGCTCTGCATCTAAGGGACTTTCATTCTGCGACACAGAATTTAGGTATTAAAGTGGCTTAAAATAATCTGTACTCTACGTACTTTTCATCAAACCAAGAACAGGTCCCTTGCAGAAAAGCTTCTGACATCACCGTCACTGGATCAGGTGTCCCTGAGTGGGAAAGGGGGAATAAAGAGATGGGTGTAAGGCATGAAGGGGGTGTGTGGTGGCTCTGATTACACGATGGAAAGCACTGTATGAGATGTGGAAGTGGAACTTCCTGGTATGCAGCGGTGAAAGAATTGCAATGCAACAGAATACAGCAGTATCTGAGTGGGGTAGGAGACTGTGTGGCAGGAGAAGAATGTCCCATTAACATCTACAGAAAGCTATTGTGAGAATCTGAGTTACCATGGTGTTGAATATTAGGAACATGCAGGAGGTATCAATCTGCTTTGCCCTGACACTGATAGTGTCACTTCCAACTGGCTGGCTGAAGCAGCATCTTTTATTTGCTGTAGCAGATGGAGATGGTATTTGTGGGAGCAGAACAGGTGATTATACTAGTGACTAGTATTGTTTCATCTCTTGTTTTCAGAAAGGGTAGGTTGTTTTGTGCTCTGATGTGACATTGACTCCCAACCTTCTCTGGTACTGATTCTGCTTATGTGTGTGTTCATGCCTGCAGAACTTGAGGCTGCAAATACTATAAAATGACTTTATAATTAGTCTAAACCATTGATTCCCCCCCAAGTTTGAGACTAAGACATTTGAAATCCTCTACTTTAGTGACTCTGGTATGTCCCTCCCTCCCTTAGTCAATGGGCTCCCTCTGACAACTGTGTTTCTCTGGAGCTGCAAATCCACCAGCCTCTAATGATGCAGTTCACAGGAGTGGGTGACAGGACTTGGCAACAAGTGGGAGGACACAAGAATGGCATAAAATTCACTGCATTCCATGTGGGTTTCACACTACTGCAGTTAGAAAATAAGAGGAGAAAGCCAGATGTAAAAACAAATGAGAGAGAAATGTAATGCTTAGATAGGATTTAGTAGGAGAAAAAAAATCTCTTCAAAGAAATAAAAGAAAACATAATTCTGAAGGTCTTGCCTAAAACAATAAAGAACAGTCAGCTGTTGTCGAACGCTGTCTCTGAGTGGTGCTCACTGACTGCAGTTAGTGTTATTATAGTAAGTATCTGTATAGACAGCTTGCCTGCCATCGGCCAGCAGCCCAGCAGAAGTGCATTCCTTTTGTCAGCTATTTGCCAACAGGCTTACAGTTGACTTGTTTCTAAATGAATTTGCATGTAAGCTTTTTTTTTTACGTTTTTGATGCTGGATAAAATGCATGGATCCTCTAACCCTTTTAAAAATTACCTATGGCTGAACTGTGCTTTTACCTTTCCCTATGCCCGAGCATAGATTTTTGTAAGCATGTGCATAAGTAGCAGTCATTTGACAGTAGCATTAGCCATCAGTAGCCCATCAGCTGATGGTAGCAATGCCATTTACTTTTGGAGTCATCTGTCTGTGTGTGCTGAATAGAGTCTTGGGACTATCTGCCTTCTAATAATTATGTAGTGGTGATATATCCTGCCTTTGGCTCTTTGAATTGCTTCTCATTTGAATGTCTGAAATAATTGAAATACTATGAATATTCCCATCTTTCTGCTTCCCTATTTTTGCCACTAAAAAGGCACTGTCTTTCATGTTTCATTGTATGTGAGAAATGTAATTATGGAAGAATAGCCACTTGATGGCAATTACAATAAAATGGATGAAATTGCATTGAACTGTCATGCTGTCTACCACATTTTAAGAAAGTTCTAACATCATGTTGTTGGAGCTGTCATTTTCTGCTGCTGGTACTCATAGCTTCTATCTGCCTAGGCTGCATTTCATAGCTCTGTTTCTGGCTTATGATTTTGTAGTTGTTCATCTGGCCATCCCAGCTTATGTCCAATTCATTTCAGAAGTATTGGTCATATTTACACCCTTCTGGCTTGTCTTTGCTCACACGCTTGATTGCAGAATCACAGAACGGTTGAGGTTGGAAGTGACCTCTGGAGGTCATCTGGTCCAATCCCCCAGCTCAGGCAGGGCCAGCAGTCTGCCCAGGACCATGGCCAGTCAGCTTTTGAATATCTCTGAGGATGGAGACTCCTACAATCTTCCTGGTCAGCTGGTGCCAGTCAATCTCACAGTGAAAAAATGTTTTCTGATGATGAAATGTCCTGTGTGTCAGTTTGTGCCACTGCCATTTGCCCTGTCACTGGGCACCACTGAGAACAGTCTGTCTCTGTCTTCTTTGCACCCTCCCTTCGGGTATTTGTATGTACTGGTAAGATCTTCTGAGGTTTCTCTTCTCTAGCCTGAACAGTCCCAGCTGTCTCAGCCTTTCCTCATATTTGAGATGCTCTAGTCCCTTAATCATCCTTGTGGCTCAAGTCCTCAGAAGATACCAGTGTTGAAATGGTACTATTTTCAGATTTTAGGATTATTTGAGGTTTTTGAAGTGTCTCAGGTGCTTGAAGGACAACCAAATCCATATGACCATTGTCTTCCGGAAGGCACAATAGCAGAGACCTGGGCAAATAATCACATGTGGGGCCTGTGAATGTGCAGTTCAGCCTTGTGTTTATGGGTAGGGGGAAACATTATATTAGAGGCTTCTGAGGAGCTACTGTGCTGTCAGGAGATTATATTTTTTGTTCCCAGCTTTTATTAAATATTCCGGGTAATAGCACTGTCTCCTATCCTCAGCTAAGCTATATCTCACTTCTGTCCTGACCCATTCAGTTACTAACACATAGGCTCACCATTCACTCCTGTCTGTGCTTTTCATAACTGAGCACTTTTACTCCTTCCTAACCAAGCAGTTCCTTTCGAATATGTAGCTCTGCTTTCCTGGTCAGTTTTGTTTGGAGCACTTTTACTGTGTACAAAGAGACTCTACTAGCAGGATATACAGAACTTAAAAAATAGTTGGTTATTGGCTAACACATACAGTAGGTTGCTCAGTCCCTTGTTAGTCTTAGCTAAGTGTTGATGTATTTATTACCGCCAGTAATGCTAGCCAGACAATTGTCAGTCCTGTGGGAAAATGTTGGCCTCTGCTCCTTTGGAACTGTGGCTCAGTTTTCCAGAGCTACCATCTTGCAAGTTCCTGGGTCTTTCTGCCTAAGGCTTATAACTTTTCATGTCGGTATTTTTTTCTTCTTGGATTCTTTGAATGCCAATTGCTACTATCTCTACAGCTCTACTTCTGTTTGTGTTTTTACTTATCCTGTGTGATGCTAGCTAACATACTTTCTTGCACCTTACCAAAAATTTTCTCAGCTAAGGTCACACAGTTGTATGACACCAAACTAGGCCTTGGATCACAAAAAGCTGAGACACAGGACTTGAGGATTCCACATAGTCTTCCTCTGGTTGGTTGATTGTCTCACTCTTCCCTCCCCCCCATTTTCCTCTCAAAGTAACAAGTTCTATTTTCTTTTCTTATTGCCTTCTCTTTATTAATCCTCAGTTTCTCTAAACTTAACTAGTTTTCAACTTAAGTTCTTCTGAACTGAATCAGATTCTGTGCCTAAGAAGTTTTAGGTTCCCCGAAGGTCACCAAGTTGACTTGCTACTTATCCTTGTACCCTGGGAAGTATGTGAGGTTAACAGACCACATTTATCTTGGGCTACAAACCTATTTGCAAATCTGGCTTAAAGTGCTGAGTCAGAGTAAGTTAATAGCTGCTTTGCCTTTGTTTGGATGGCACAAGACACTGCAAAAAGAGTAGTGCATCTAGTCTGTTTGCTCACCTTGTAAGTAAATGCTAATAAATGACAGGTAGTAGAATACTGTGTGCTGTTTTCTTCCTCTCTTTATAAACACTTCAGATGTTCTCTATGTGTAAAAAAAAAAAACCACCAAAAGTCAGTCCATAAATAGTGGAATGAGGAGAACCTGTCTTCCTTCAAATTTGCATCTCATCACTTCTGTAGATTATTTGAAGCTTCGTAGTAGGTGAGCTCTTGCCATGACCAGCTTGTCATCAGTGAGAGCTGTAACTTGGTCTCTTTCCTGATTTCCTGTTTTCATGGAAAAGTAGTTAGCTAACTTCTCTTATCTTCCTCGGTGTAAGAAATTTTATTGAAGTTGTTCAGAAAGTTCAAAAGTTACCAGGTGGCCTGTGAAGCAGTGATGATGTTAATTTTACTGTCTTGGGAAACAGCATCTCCCTGATGCTTTAGTCAGTATTTGTTAAAATGAATCCTGAGGGACCAAGGTGGACAGCTCTATACTCATACATCTTAATTGCAGAAAAAATTTCTATTGTTTTATGCTTTCTTGTCTTATTAAGACATTGCATGTGTCAGCTTCATGTTTTTAAGATTCTGACAGTTATAAGGTCTGAATTCATACTACAGCATACACATTCCAAATACATAAAAAACCATGTGATGTTAACTTGTACTTTTTACAACCTCAAAGATAACATGTCAAATTTAAGATACTCAAAACCAGTAATTGGCAGGACAAACGGATGGTACTTAAATACTATGAAAATAAAATGGAGCCAGTTTTTGTTATTCATTTGCCATTGCTTGTTCTCAGGAGTTTGGAAAGTTTTCTTTCTATTTGAAGTCATAAGAGAAATGAAAGGGCAAGGATTTTAGTTTTATGAGAGTGTGTATGCACTGTATTTCCCATGTTGTTATTAACAAAAATACATCTAAATATATGTATATACATGTAAGCAGGATTTACTCTCTCCATTGTGACTTTTTATCCATCCTTTATTTGCAAGCTGATATAGTTTAATGGGTCAAATGTTTATTTTAGCAGTTTGTGCTTGTATGACAAGAGTTTTCCAGTGCTGTTCTGTGTAGAGTTCTCTCAGGGTTGTGTGATCACTAGCAAAGCTCCTCAGGTGATAATAGATTTTGAAATGCTTTTAGAAATGAGTGTAATGGCTTTTTTGTTTACCTCAGAGTTAAGTCAAGGTGACAGACTGCTGAAACTAAACTTGGGTGTTTGTTTTTGTTGTTCTTATTGTCAAATTTCATTTGCAAAACTTCATGTTGGAGAACAGCATGTTGTTATGTATTGGCACAGTTACTAGCTCCATTGCATAGATTTCACATATTTTATATCAGTCAGACATTTGAGTGTATGAGATTTTCATTCCATTAACTTATATTTATAATGAGTACAATATTTGATACTCTTCTGTGACCAGGAATTATTTAATAGCAAGGACAGCGAAGTACATACTAATATAAAAAGCAGTGACTAGAAAAATTTAACTTAGCGCCCCTGGCCTTGTTGTGTACAGTTAAGAGTAATGGTGTGATTGCAAAGGGAATTATTTCAGAATTAAATTATTCAGAACAACAGAAAGGGAACATCAGTCAAAATGTGGAACATTCTGCATGATCTGTAATAACTGACCTTCATTTCAAGGCATTAGGGCAACAAAGAGATGCCAAGTTTATTGGCGATACTTGTGACTTGCCGAATAACTGATTGAGTTTTAACAATTTTTTTTTTTTTTCCCCACATCCCGCCCTGAGTGTTGCGATATAGCCTAAGGGAATTTGTCTTCATTTTGCAGGTCAAGCCTTAAAGGTATCAGCAGAGGCATTTACCAGCGATCCCTGCTATCTGCCTAAGAGGCAGGCTGTTGTCCAAGCAGCACGATCCCTGCTTACGGCTGTCACAAGGCTTCTAATTCTGGCGGACATGGTTGATGTGGCATACTTACTGGAACACTTAACTCTGGTGAGTAGAATCTGACACTTAACTCAGACTCCCTTTAGCCAGAGAAGTGTCTGCTGATGGTTCTTTTTGCACTGAAAATTCTTTTTGTACTTGGGAATTGCAGACCTCATGCACGTAACAGTTTGGAAATTGGTGCAAGTGTAGATTCTAGATGAGACTTGTAGAATGTCCAAAAAAAGTCTACTTCTAACTCAACGTATTTGATCTGGGGAAGGAAGTGGTTATCTGTACAATTATATTTTAACTTCTTTTTACTTCTTATTTCCCATTTTCTTACTTGAACTGTAAGAGCTGTACTTGTATAGCTTTTTATACATGAAACCTTCTTGATATTTGCGGAAGGAGTAAGGAATAATTTATTTGTAGAGAATTTTAAAGGTGGAAATTTATGTGGATATTTATGGAGGGAAATAACTGAGTAGGTAAGGGTCTATCTCTGTATTCAAGTCAGTTTGTGAGAGAGGTCAGCTAAAAGGAGAGGGAGAAGATGTGAGAGAGGGGCCTCCGGCAACTCCCCAGCTCCAGCTGTATATTTGTATGCAGCTGACAGAAGACTAGAAAGTCCTAATATTGGAAAAGCTTTAAAAATTGTGCAGTAGAAAATATTCTGTAAAAGCCACTTAATTTTTTCATTCAAGGGAATAATGTGTTTTCGAAGCATGTATCATGATAGTGCTATGTTTTTGGGTCATCTTCTTTTCCACCTGGTTCTCTTTATACAGAAGAGTTAGCTTCATTCTTCTATTTCCCTATAAAACTAACCAGTGGTTGTGCCCTTATTGCTGAATTAGGCAAAATGTCCACAGTTCTGTTGTTCAACGTCAAAATACTTTCCTGTTTATGTAAACATAATGTTCCTTTAATGTTGGCCATAGTGTCCTGTGTGAAGCAGGCTTCCTGCCTTTTTTGAACAGTGTGATTTTAATCTTCCCAGCATCATGTGTCTGACCACAAAGATGTGTTTACCAAGTTTCTTCTCTGGCTGCTTACTCCATTCAACCTGGTGCGTGTCTTTGCTGGGAAGACCAAGGAATTGTTCTTTTTTGGTTTTCTTTTTTTCCTAACATCTTCAGTAATGTGTGACAGACTGATAAAAATTCAAAGTTCTATTGACTTCTTAATGTTTCAAGGCAGAGGTGAATAATCGGTGCCACCTCTAATAATACCTCATGCAAGGGGACCCCACTGATTTAAAGGGGACCATTTTGAAGCAAGCTCAGTTTGAGGACAGGGAAATGAAAATTCAGCTCCCAATCAGAGAAGGAACAGTATCTCATAATAAAACAACGTTGTGTGGGTTTCAGTGCTGTGTTTGAAACATCCAACACTGATAATTGTTGGAGATGCAGTACAGGCTAAATGAACGCTGACTTGCAGAAGCTTCTGTGTTGTTATATATGTAGGAAACTTGTCAGCTGTGAGAGGAGTGGCCTATGTCTTCTGTACAGTTTGTAGAAAATTTTCTTAAATTATTATATTTTTTCATTGGTAGCCTGTTATGTTTTTACATATGTATTTTCATAATCATAGATGCACCCTTCTAAAATAATTTCAGTATGTTTTACATGAGAGAACTAAAATTGGGTAGTTTTCTTTCCTAGAGTGTCAGTATTTCTAAACAACCATATAATTCACTTCATGATTTCCTTTTGAAAATGAAAACAAACAATAACTGAAAATTATAAAAGAATGCAAAGAATCATTCGGGAAAAACTCCAACAGTGCAGCGTGCAATTAAGTTTATCTTCTTCTTCCATACTTTAATTTAGTTCTCCTAATAGGAGTGAGAACTGAATTCTTCAATTAACTCTTAGAATAAATTAGTGTGGCATAACACTCTTCAAAATGCCTATGTAAAAAGACTCACCCTAGTCCTTAGAGGAAGGTGGTACATTTTCCATATTTTTTTAGTCTCTGCCCTGGCTGTTGAACTTGCCAACAGTGGTATTAGCTGTAGTGGTGTCTTTTTATGTGACATATAATTAGGAAATAAACTTAGATGATGGACTCATTTCAACATATGCTATTGAACAACCTTCAAATTATAACAGCTTTTGTTCATGGCTAACTGAGCCAGATGGAAATGCAATGAAATATTATACTGACTCTCAACTTTGCTCCTTTCAGAGTCCTTATCTTTAATTATTATACTTTAAAACTCCCTTAGGAATTCAGTTTTTCTTCAGTGTGGACCTGCTCTAACAAAAGACATTGTATTCACACAGTGGCTGCAGCATAGAAAGTAAATCTTGTCTTTGCTGTATCAGCTTTAATATTCTCAACGTTTGCAAGTTTGTATGACTTGAAGATCAACTTTCTTTAAAAGTCATGAGCAGTTTTTATTTGAACTTGTTCTAAAATTTTAATACTTCTATCATTTTATCTTCCTCTTCACAAAGACATGGATGTTGCAGCAGTTACTAATCATTTGAGATGAGAAATTTCATTGCCCTTTATGTCCATAACTCTGAGGTCTATAATTGTCATAGAATAAAATGAAGAAATTTAAAGGACTGAGACAAAATTAATTTAAAAAAATGAAGAAAACAATAGTAGAATAAATGAAATTAAAATTCTAATGGAGGAAGTTTTTTTGTTTGTATGTATAAAGTGAAAGGAAGTGGTCCAGCATCATCAAAGAACTCTGTAGAGTATTAATCAGATCTGGTTCAATACAGAAGTATTTAATGAGGGATTATCTTTTTATGTATTTAATATTTTTCAAAATCATTTATCAGAGAGTGACAAAAGTTTTTAGTCTTGCTCACTCAGTAAAGCTGGTTAATTCCAACACTGACATTCAAAACATTTGAAACCATATGTCCTTCTATTGACAGAATGCAGTCTGGATCATCAAACTTTAATTTTGTCTGTAATCTGTGAATAAAAATAGAAAGGAGACAATGACAATGTGACTAGCTTGTCTTATAAAGCCTCTTCTAATGCTACCTGTCGCATCTGCCATTCTAAGTATATCTAGAAAAAAGATGAACCTCAGCTACTTTCTTCCAGTTTAGTAGTCGTTAAGAGTATTGGGTTTTTGTACATTTTACTTAGTCAAAAACATTCCGAAGTCTTCTATGTAATAAAATCTTTATATAAAACAAAATATGATCCTGAAAAAAATGAATGTTTTTGTCACAAAAATATTAACATGCCACTTCTAAACTAGAAATAACAGGTCAATCTATTTGGAATAATTTGATAAATCTGGCAGGAATTTAACTTTGAATGTAAAATAACATACCTTTGTGAAGGTATGAAATTAGAATTTTTTAAATTTCACTAATAAAGTGGAGAGAATTTTGATTGTTTTATGGACTCTGTAGAATCTTAACCCAGCAAAGTGTGTATCAAATGATGCATATTAGAAGCCCATACAAATCCTCAGTGACTGATCATATTCTGGCATAGTACACTTCTAGCCACTTGTGGAATTACACCCTTATAAGAGTATGATAGCGTGGTGGAAACAGCAAGCTCATTTTAGAGCAAGCTCATTTTAGAGTTGACTGAGAAAATAAAGTATATCACACTCATAAGAAAGGTTTTGCTGCTTTAAAAAACTGAAAATTTTTTAAACAGGGAAGTGTTTAAATAAATAGCTGTCCATATCTGAGTTTCCATGCTTCTTTTACTCTAATCATAAAACTGAGTTGTGAAAAATGTAGTTGGACAAAGGGCTATCTCATGCATTGCACTCTTTCATTCAGAGCTGTACTACCGGCCTCATTCATTATGGTTAGTAATGCTCAATATTATTTAAGTGAATTAACAGACTAATGGAATTGCTTGAATTTATTGATCAGAGGAGAACAGCAAGAAGGTAACGAGTTCTGAGAAATTCATTCAAAGCGCATTGGCAATCTGTCTTTCTCTAATCTATTTCAGATCGTGCTGAGCCAACATGTTTTATCTGCCTCTTTTCCCTTCTTGTCATGCTTGTAGATTTACTGTTTAAGTCTTCATATTTTTCATGAATGCCTCAGACAGCGTGATCTTTATAAAATGCTTGCTTAGAGTTACTTAAAACTTGCTGGGGGGGTTGGGGGTGGAGAGAATGGCTACAGGTAAGAAGCAGCTTGTGAACTTGGGCCGCGTGGGCATAGTGCTGTCTGTTCTTCCCTTCCCTGCAGAGTATTCATCAGCATTAAAAATGTTTTGAGCGGGAGAAAACCAACATGGTTACCTAAAAGAAGAGAGGTAAGTCATCTCAGGCTTACCTATGCTTCAGATTTAGGTATTTGGTTCCACTTGCCTAACTAGAATTTGACTTGCTCCCTGTGTTACTTTCTGACCGTTTTGGTATTGTAGTGTCATGCAGTAAAACATTAAAAAATGGAAAAAGGATAAAAAAGAACGTAGGCTACTCTGGGGGTACAGGGCCAGGTTGTGAAACTGAAAATGATCCTAATTTTCCCACCTTCCCTTTAGTGGGCATGGGTTGCTCCCATGACAAGAGAAATCTCTGAAAATAAGGAGTGTTAAGAAGTTGACAGGAATCTTTGGGAGAGGATTTGGCTCCTCCTTTGGTTCGTATTCATATTTATTTTCTCATCAACCAGCAGAAGATAGATTCTTGCTACCAATCTGAGGTCAGTATATGCCACATGGGATGCAGTTGTTTGTAATCAGGGCTACAGTGTTTATCATTGCACTCTACAAATTCTCTGGCAGTCTGTAATGTGCAATAAATGACAGAGGAAAAGCAGCTTCTAAAGAATTACTTTTAAGAGTTGGGCTTTTCAAAGTGAACATCTTTTTGACTGCAACAGGAACCTGAATCACTCTTACTTTCTTGGCATAGCAGCCTCTTGGCTGCTGCTTTGTAACTCCCTAATGACTTGTGGCTTTACAACCCTGAGGGCTTCCCTTGAAACAGTCATATTCTTAATGTCACTCTTCTAACTGTTGCTAAGGAACGCGCTCCCCAATCACTGCAGTTTAGTTTATATAATATCTGTTTCTGGTCTTAGCATGGGAATCACTGAAAAAAGGAG